TTAGGCTCAGTCTCCAGCCGTCGGGATTTCGTGCGCCCGCGATACTCTCTCCCCTGACGGCTGGGCGCATGAGGTTCGCTATTGTCAGTCTTGACCAATCAGCGAGTGGCCCCCGATATTTTGAGGGGCATATCATTAATAAATTAGCAGGCAGCAGTGTAACAAAATGGCGTACAATTCGTCGTTTGAGATTCTCTTTGAAAGTGCTTGTTTGAAGGCTCTGAAGTCGTTTAGCTTGGACGAATTTAGAGAAATACAGCAAAAGGCTCTTAAAGAGATTGTTCTTGGAAAAGATGTCCTTGTTATTCTTCCTATACTGGCTCGGGCAAATCTCTTATTTTTCAAACAGCGCCACTAGTGTATTTTGCTCGTTTTTCTGGCAGATAATACATCCATTTGGATTATTAAACCCTACACATGTTTTACTTGGGGTAATTTCCTTTCTCTTTTTTAAAGCGCTAACTATTACATTATATCGCTACTTCGCGAAGTTTTCATTTCACATAATTTCCCAACTTGTAGCAAAACCTTTACGGCTGTTGCAGATATTTCACTTCCGTTCACTGAAAAATTCACTTCCGTTACGTCATAATATGCTAATTACACAAAAACGTCACGGACATGCGCGACACGTTTCGAGCCCCATGCGCCCAGCCGTCAGGGGAGAGAGTATCGCGGGCGCACGAAATCCCGACGGCTGGAGACTGAGCCTAGAGGGGGGTTGCTAAAAATATTAATTAAAATCTTAATTACAAATGGAAAACAAGGTATAAATTGTAGAGGTTTCAATGAACAGATTAAATGCCATATTAGTTTATAGAGAACACGGTAAAAAACAACAAGTAACTTATCATTGTCTTTCTTATCATTTTCATCAACAACAATATCATCATCAACTTCATCATCATCATCAGTGTCATCATTGTCATTTGGATCTGCACTTTCCTTTTTTTTTYSKTWRKTTTTKGRAAWTWAAAAATTTCACCTGCAGTGCAATTGGTTTTGGTACCGCCGCCATGGCAGCGAAAATCGTTTTCTAAAGACATTTTCATGGGACAGAATACGGGCTACATGGATAAAATCAAAGTTACACAACTTACTACCAAGACGAGTCAGCCCAGATTGCCTTTGTGGCTTATTCTGTAAGAAAGACAATATCTACCTATTTAATGGCAATAATAAATCCAAAACTAAAAGATCGGAGGACTTGTTCTTGTTCAAATATGTTAACCGAATCTTTAATATTTCTCAAATATAATATATTATAATATTTTTCTTATATACTGAACTGAATAAACTATTATTATTTTCATTTATTATTATCATACATGACGTCATTTATGGCACTCATTTTCTTCATAACTAATAATCATTGAAATTTTATAAAATGGCATACTTAATGCTAAGAATATTCAAATAGTAACCGATAGCTATCAAAGTCTGTAGTCTACCAGCCGAGAACTGGCAAAATTAAAGAAATTATCCACCAAGAGATCGCTTGATGTGTCTATAATATGTTTACACATAATAATGTTTCCACATCTGCATTACTCACTCTTATTTCCCCTATTGGGAAGTTACTGAAAGGTKTTCCGGTTTTCTACCCATAAGGGCAATCACAGGAAGTACGGGGCAATGTTTACAGCTTCTCTTGCAATTTGTTAACATAAACAAAGGATTACTTTCACATTCACCTTGGCCAGCCCATGCGTTGCAACTCACATTGTTGTCATGACAAGCTAAAAGAGAACACAAAAAGCCACTTGTCTAAAAGGTTAATATTTCAATTTGATCACATTAAAAGAGTGGTAGGTTAGGGTCAATTATATGGGAAAACGTTCTTGGTAAGAAGGTATAACAGTTTACGTGGTTTAAACTAAGCGATAATGGGCTGAGGTTTAATATTGGTCTGTTATCATTTTTAAGTAATGGCCCGAGTAAGAACTAGGGAAGCAAACGGMAAAGGAATGCAAGAAGGTGCCAATTGTGTATTGTATAATCCATCCATCCATCATTGGTTTAAACAAGAAAATCTGCTATAATTTCACAAGTTAGCGCATTTTSTAATATTTTATTTAATATCTGATTCCGACTTCACGAAAGCTTTCTTTAGCTACAATATTAAGGCAATTCTATGTGGGRAACATAGCAAATTAGAAGCTTCTTTTGGCTATTGTTTTGAGTGCTTATGATTGGATAAGAGTTTTTAATACAAAAGAAACTCTGTTTCAAAATAGAGTTTATCCACATTTTATTTCAAAAATGTGTTAGCCATAGGTTGATATATAATCAGTGTGAAAACCAAGACATTCGTATGTGGGGAAGTTGCAATGCCGCAGATCAATAGAGAGTTCCCTAGTTCTTAAGCGCATTGTTACTTAATTTTAATGTGACAAAATTTCGATTTAAAATTTCAGAGGTAGCCTTTGTGCGGCATGCGAAAAGGCTTTTATTATTAGCGGGCTTAATGTAGCCAGCTATAGTTTTACCTTTTCTCCACTCTGTCGTGTCGCAGTTTCCAGTCTCTCTCGAACCACAGGAAGCCATATCTATCATATCTATTAGTTTGTAGTCTCCCTCGAACTGAAAATTTTCTCAAGAATCCAAAATGGCGGGTACTTCGCCGATAACAGAGAAAAAAGTACTCAAAAACTATCAACAAGAAATACCAAAAGCTTTCTCATTGAAGAATTGAACTAGGATATTGCATTTGTGAAGTTTCAAGCTTGCTAGTTATCATTTTAAGACGATGATTTTGCATCGAAAATAGTCTCGCCTTCCTCACCAGTCCAGCTCGATGATTATTCAGTACAGCTTCAACATGAAATCAGCTCAAATACTGGCTTTTTTCCACATTTATAGACAGCAAAAGGTATTTTTCTGTTTAAATGACAATGTTTTTATTGTTCAAATTCAAAGAAATTGCTTTAATATCATCGGG